AGCCTGGGGCTCCATGCAAGATCTCACCTCGTGGAGTTGCAATGATCATGAGAACAGTGAGGAATCAGCCCAGAACTACACGGGAGGATCTTGTCAATGATCTCAAGGCAGCTGGGACCATAGTCACCAAGAAAACAATTGGTAACACACTACGCCGTTAAGGACTGAAATCCTGCAGCGCCCGCAAGGTCCCTCTGCTCAAGAAAGCACATATACAGGGCCGTCTGAAGTTTGCCAATGAACATCTGAATGATTCAGAGGAGAACTGGGTGAAAGTGTTGTGGTCAGATGAGACCAAAATCGAGGTCTTTGGCATCAACTCAACTCGCCGTGTTTAGAGGAGGAGGAATGCTGCCTATTACCCCAAGAACACCATCCCCACCGTCAAACATGGAGGTGGAAACATTATGCTTTGGGGGTGTTTTTCTGCTAAGTGGACGGGACAACTTCACCGCATCAAAGGGACGATGGACGGGGCCATGTACCGTCAAGTCTTGGGTGCGAACCTCCTTCCCTCAGCCAGGGCATTGAAAATGGGTCGTGGATGGGTATTCCAGCATGACAATGACCCAAAACACACGGCCAAGGCAACAAAGGAGTGGCTCAAGAAGAAGCACATTAAGGTCCTGGAGTGGCCTAGCCAGTCTCCAGACCTTAATCCCATAGAAAATCTGTGGAGGGAGCTGAAGGCTCGAGTTGCCAAACGTCAGCCTCAAAACCTTAATGAGTTAAAGAAGATCTGCAAAGAGGAGTGGAACAATATCCCTCCTGAGATGTGTGCAAACCTGGTGGCCAACTACAAGAAACGTCTGACCTCTGTGATTGCCAACAAGGGTTTTGCCACCAAGTACTAAGTCATGTTTTGCAGAGGGGTCAAATACTTATTTCCCTCATTAAAATGCTAATCAATTTCTGGATTATTTTTGTTGTTATTCTGTCTCTCACTGTTCAAATAAACCTACCATTAAAATTATAGACTGATCATGTCTTTGTCAGTGGGCAAACGTACAAAATCAGCAGGGGATCAAATACTTTTTTCCCTCACTGTATATAGATTTTCTATTTTGTTTTTGACTGTACGTTTTGTTTATTCCATATGTAACTCTGTGTTGTTGTTGTTTTTATCGCACTGCTTTGCTTTCTTGGCCAGGTCGCAGTTGTAAATGAGAACTTGTTCTCAACTGGTTTACCTGGTTAAATAACGTTTTTTTAATATATATATATATATATATATATATATATATATATATATATATATATAAATAAATACAAATGTTGATCTGAAGTAAAGACGTTCAGCTTAATTGCACAACAAGCCTCCGTCCATTTGTAACATTTGCGACGAGGACGACCGAGTTTAACTTACCTCCACCATCTCCATTTCTCCCGGTCCCTGGAGATCCACCTGTTCTTTGGAATCGCTGGTTTCAATCCTTTCAGTTGAATATGGTAGCTAACAATCTGCATGGAGCTGCCGACGCACGAAGACGGCCGATTCTACTCCACTGTCTCGGCGCTGAGGGACAATGTGTCTTCTCCACTCTACAGACAGTGGATAGCAAGTTTACATCGGTTGTCCAAGCTCTCGAGGAACACTAGAGTTGCTCACGCAGTGGGATCATACATCATTTTCTCTTCAGACAATGAGATCAACTTCCGGGTGATTCCGTAGCACAGTTTGTGTCCTCCTTGAGAGAGCTAGTGTGACCATGCAGATTCGGACCACTCGAAAACGAATTTGCACGTGATCAATTCATTGAAAAACATAATGTGCTCCACTGAGGGAGAAATTGTTGTTAGAGACCGACGACCTGACACTGGAGAAAGCACTTAATATTGGAAAACAAATGGAAGTTGCTCTTGCTGACCTACATCAAGTTCAGAGCGCATCTCAGGGGGCGGGGCTTCACACACTGGCTGAGGCACCGGGGGGGGGGGGGGTGACGCATCTACATGTCCAACAAAGGGGCAACGCTGCAAGAACTGCATCAAACACAATCATTTTGCCCGTTGTTGTCGTCGTTCAGCAGCGGCAGGACAGTATCAAGCAGATGCAGGTTGAAGTTCACCAGTCTCCATTAACTCTGTACATGATGACTGAGTTGCATTCAAGCAATGTGACTTCTATGTTGAGTGTGTTAAAACCTCACTGGAGCTAAAGTGTCACTTTTGAACAAAGCTACTTATGACTCATTCTTCTTCTTCTGCAGAGACCAGCAGTATCCCTCTACAGCTACAACCACACACCGATCTCAATCATTGGGACTGTCTCACTGCCAGTCTGTTAAAACAACAGAACCACGCCGGTCACCCAGTTCTACGTTGCAACAGATGGCGCTAACATCCACGGACTGGACTTTTCCGTATTGACTGACCTTCATGTCTTAAAGTAATGATGGGCTGTCATTTCTCTTTGCTTATTTGAGCTGTTCTTGCCATAATAAAGACTTGGTCTTTTACCAAATAGGGCTATCTTCTGTATACCCCACTACCTTGTCACAACACAACTGATTTGCTCAAACGCATTAAGAAGGAAAGAAATTCCAATAACTTTTAAGAAGGCACACCTTTTAATTGAAATGCATTCCAGGTGACTACCTCATGAAGCTGGTTGAGAGAATGCCAAGAGTGTGCAAAGCTGTCATCAAGGCAAAGGGTGGCTATTTGAAGAATCTCAAATATAAAATATATTTTTATTTGTTTAACACTTTTTTGATTACTACATGATTCCATATGTGTTATTTCATAGTTTTGATGTCTTCACTATTATTCTACAATGTAAAAAAATAGTTTAAAAAAAGAAAAACCCTTGAATGAGTAGGGACGCGTATTCAATATGTCTGATGAGACTTCAGCTGCTCTGCTCTGCTCCTCGCAACCTGAGGCCTCGACAGGATACACCTCTCACTTCTCTGAACTACAGAGAAGGAGAGAGAGGGAGGGAGGAGGGAGGAGGGCGAGAGAGTGAGAAGAAGAGAGATAATGGAAATCAGAGTAGAAAAAAAGTATTCCACACAGTGTAACTTAGAACACTGAATCTGAATAATCTCCCAAGAGCTGTTCACTCACTCTCTATGAACATCTCTCCATCTCTCCTCGGGGAGGGAGGGAAGGAGGGAGAGAGTGGAGGGACAGAGAATGGGCGGAGGAGAAGTGAGGAAGAGAGGGATGTAGAGTGGGAGGTGAGAGGAAAGAGAGGAAGGGAGAGGTTGTATCCCTGCTATCACCCAGCAAGGAGACAATAAGGCACTCCTAAATTATGTATCTATTCTGTTATACACTCTGTATGATAAACAAGCCTCTCTCTCTCTCTCTCTCTCTCTCTCTCCTGTAGTGACTCCCCCTCTTCATATGGAGATGACAGCTACACACAACCATTTGTCATCAGAAACATGCTGGTTGTCCATTTGACTGCCTGGGTATAAAGAAAAAGAAAGAAAAGAAAAGAATAAAAAAGAAGAAAGAAAGAAAAGAAAGTAGAGAATAACGAAAGAAGAAAGAAAGAAAGAACGAAAAGAAAGAACGAAAGAAAGACCGAACGAAGAAAGAAAGACCAGGAGGGAAGATAAGACATAGGATAAGATTGGAACAAATCTGCTGTGCTAAATGTTTGCGCTTCAGAATTCATAAAGCCGCTTTGGTGTGTGAGGTGGAGCGTGATGGGTTTCCAGCCAGTAAGCGCACAAACACACAGGCATGTGTACACACACTCACACAATCGCTAAACACACACACAGGCATGCACGTACACACACACGACAGGCGATGTGGTGGATGCATCACCGCGTACGTTCCCAGCCTGGCTGGCTGCTGTGTCTCCTGCCTGCCCTCATTTAATTGCATGTTGCCAGGGTTACCGACATACCAGGGGAAAAGACAACAATAACTACAACAACAACACTAAAGCAATATAACTAAACATACAACTGGCCCCGTCTCCACCCCTATAACTGACTAATCCCATAAAACAACGGAACCTCTCCAAACCCTTTAACAACAAAAATTCCCAAAAACAATTTTGGGCCCTCTCCATCCTGTATAACAACTAATATCCCATAAAACAACTGGGCCCCCTCTCCTCCTTATAACAAATAATACCCAAAATCAACGGCCCGTCTCCATCCGGGAAACAAACAAATCCCATAATACAAAAGGCCTCGTCTCCGCCTGTATAAAAGACTAAAACCCATAAACAACTGGCCCTGTCTCCATCCTGATAAAAGACTAAATCCCAAAATTTTAAATGGCTTTTGTCTCCATTCCCCTCCCGTATAACAAAAAATCCCTAATAAACTGGGGCCCCTCTCCCTCCTGTTAAAAAAACCTGGGGGTACTGAGGGATGTTACACACCGATGGATGTTAAGGCTGAAGGGCTGTTATCCTCACCATCACTCATAGCAACAAAATCCTAGACATGCTAACAAAAAGCAAAAATAAGGGTTTTTTTTGATTCGCAATTCATTGTCCCATGACAGGGCAAATATTTTTAGACACATTTACTATAAATTAAAATCGATACACTTTTCATAAACACACACACTCAAAAAACACACACTCGAAAAACCCCCACTTACTAGTATTAAAAAAGCGGCAAAGCACTTAGTCAAAGGGCAAACTGGCAGCTCCAACTCAATTATCCACTAAAAAGAATTAATCAAAAGGCAT